AAAAAAAAAAAAAAAAAAAAAACAGTAAAATTCATTATGCTAATTCTCTAACAGCTCGTGTGCGGAAAAAAAAAATGATCTCGTGGCTAATACATAACAAAACATGCAAATTTGTAACGGTTTGCCAGTGCCTTCTCCAAACTTGGAAAAAATCAGCTCGTGATCGATGGTCATAAAAACAAATACGACAGCCAAGTCACTCTAACATCTCTCAAGCCCGATACATCTTTGCAAACTCCAAACACAATTCACGATCTCTCCCATCACCCCNNCCCTTAAACCCAGCCTGATAACCCTCTTGATTCTCGTACACTTGCACACCCCAATCAGACCTCACACTAACAACTTTATCCACATCATCCACTTTAAAACTCGCAGCCCCATTATCAATGCACGCCGTTTGTTTTCCCTGGCCTTGATGAAGCCCGCATTTCCCAAAATGGGCCGCGCTCGTTCTTGGGCCCCGCAGCGTGTAAACCGGGCCCCCAAACGACGGATAAACAGTGGCCCACATCGTTATATCCCAGTTATAGTCGTCGAACGTGCAGAATTCACGTGCTTTTTTATGAATCTTTCTCCACACCGTCCGATTAAACGAATACCCAACATTTCCCATTCGCTCGGCAACTAAACGGGCATGGTTTTCGCCCTTAGACTTTACGTCAGATGGGGCGAGATTAGCCGCGTAGCAAAGGGGGCATTTTTCGAGCTTCAGCTTCACGAGAAGCTGCAAGTTACGATAAGCGTTGGGGTAAATGAAGTGGTCTTCCTCTATGAAGAGGATATGACCCGAGTGAGCTCGAGTCTCCCTTAACCCGTCCCACACAGTATTCATCATCCACCACCAATGGTGTTTGAGGGACACGATCTTAGGCGAACGGTAATTTCCATATTGGTCGGGGGTCCCGATGCAATTTTTCTTGGGGGGGTCGTTTTTATCTCTGCAGTCGTTGGGACAGAAGCCCGGGAAGGAGTTTTCGAACAAATGAGGGGAGAAAGGGGCAAAGATTTGCTTCACACGGCAGAATTTTATATTTTCGACTATTCTGTTCATTTTTTCGAAAGATCCATCGTGGCTTACGATTAGGAGGGTTTCGCTAATGCCCTCGACTCGGGAGAGACTGTCGATGACTACTTGGAGGTATTGGGGCCGATTGTGAACGTACAACACGATGACTATGTGATTCTTGGGGAGATTGGGGTACAAATCCAAGTTTTTCGGTGGGAGTTGATTTCGTTTTTCGAGCGAAATCGATAATTTGGTCTGTTTGGGGAGATTCAAGTTCTTGTTGCTGGAAATTAAAGTGTAGTTATAAGGAGATCCTAGGCTTTCTCTTTCTCCTCCATATGTGGTGCTGTCAAATGAATATCTGCCGGCTAAATCTATAAATGTGTTTGTCCTCAAACACAAGACTAACAAAACAAAACCAAACACACCAATCACAACCCAGCGGCATAAAGAGACGTTTTTTACTCGGGCTTTTTTGTGTGAAGCCGCCATTAACAAGAAGAAGAAGAAGAAGAAGAAGAAGAAGAAGAAGAAGAAGAAGAAGAAGAGCTACTGTCAAGCAGTTGAAAGCATGAAAAATGGGAAATTACACAAAATAAGAAAAAGAGCAATCTGTTCAAGAGCAAATAAGGGATTACGCGAGCAAAAAGGCGTGACCTTTAACAAGCTTTCGTTGATGGGCTCACCAGAAACAGATATTTTGAAGGATCGGTCGAAAGAGTTGCAGAGTTGACTTGTCTTGAAATTTCAAGAGGATTAACTGTTCTCAGTGTATAAAGGTAAAGCGAAGTAGATCAAAAGGATAATTCTCCAAATGGAAATTTCAAGATTATAAGATTGGATTTGGACTGGAATGAGAAGTTGAGAGATGCAGGGAATTTTCATTTCCTTTCTTATCTTACCAACTCTAAATGCGACCAGCCAAACACGGTCTTGACTTCTCCGGGCCAAAAATTTAGGGGTATACTCACAGTCTCACACTCGTTTATCAATGAGCTATAAAAAATAATATAAAAAAGTTTATAAAAAACAATATAAAAACTCTAGTTCTGATTTGTAACAAGTTTGTCTCATTATTAATTAAAAAAGTTCGAGCTTTACTCATTTGATTGAACGGATCTCAAATCTTTAACAGGTCAAAATTACTGAGTTGCTCATTTAATTTAACTCCAAATACAAAGTACCTTACTGTTTCTTTTTCCTCAAACAAAAAAGATTATATTTCATTTTTTTACTTCTTTTCAATTACTAAAAATGATTGTGATTAGATTAGATTACTTTAATGAATGTACAATTTGCAAATATCAATGAGATTTTGACTAAATGGAACGCTAGGCTATGATTGAAAATGTGAAATACAGTGAACCATTCGTACATTAAAAGCATTTCCAAATGATAAAAAGGGCGAAAATTTTAAGTTAGTGCATTGTGGCGTGAACAAATGGGGTGATTGTCTCTATGGCCACACTTTAATGACTATTGACTTGCATGGTTTTAAAAATTTTCCACGGACAATTGATTGTTATTAGTACATTACCAAATTATGTTGGACTTTTCTAATGTGCCCATTTTGGCACTTTTCATTTATATAGAAATGATAAAGATAAACTTAGCCTGAGAACAGAAATGAAATTGCAATTTGCTGCTACATTAATAACCCCTTCTATCTATTTATTTATTTATTTATTCTCCCTTTTCTTCTGGCTAGGGAGTTGGAATGTTACCTCAGCTAACCTCCTACTGCTCCACCTGTTCTACCTAAACATGACCACCGGGCCGGGTCAGCCCATTTACCCACGTATAAACGGAATCTTCATATACCCGGCCCAGTTCCGGTTCTATATTTTGGAATCTGTTTTTAACAAACACAGAGAAAATATCAACAGCCCAAGAGAAAAAGTGACAGTAAATCAGNTCGTCGTCAAGTCATACCCAGCCAGGAGAAAAAGAAGCATTCATCATCCTCTGCTCTAAAAATACACTAAAGAGAGAGAAAAAAAAAAGCAAGAAAGAAAGAAAAACTAGAAAAAATTTATTTGTATATAAGGGCGTCACGTCCCGGCCCCACTCCTATGTAGTGAATGGGTACACCGACAAGTTGTTCTATCCTCTCGACATAATTACGTGCCGCTTTTGGCAGCTCAGAGTAGTCCCTTACAGAAGAAATATCGCTCTGCCACCCTGGCATAATCTCGTACTCGACCTAAAACAAAATCCAATGGAACACGCAAATTTACTATCAAATGAGAAAATATAGAAAGAAACTACATTTTCAATCTCAATAGTCAATAAAGTAGAGAACATATGGGTTGTTAAATCAGGTTTGGATAAACGTGACATGCAGATATGAGCATGGGTTCTTCAAAGATTCAAACTTTGCTGCAGAAAATTATTTTTTCTACTTATATAATCAAAACCCACTTTTTTGAGAGTTGCAATATGTAAAAGAGATGAAATGAGAATATCCAGTGAGCTTTACACCTTGATGTCTTCCAGAAGACGAAGGTCAGCAGGGAATGAGTGGATTGGAGTACCATCAATCGTCTTGTACGAAACACCCAATTGAATTTCCTCGAAATCTGACAGCACGTCAAGTTTGGTGAGGTTCAAAGATGAGAACCCGTTTATCTGGCAACAATATTTGAGTGCAACTAGATCGAGCCATCCACAACGACGAGGGCGTCCAGTAGTTGTCCCAAACTCCTGCCCAGCGAACCTAAGCAAGTCACCCCCTTTACCCAAGATTTCTGTAGGGAAAGGACCCGAACCAACTCGAGTAGTATATGCTTTGACCTGCATAATTGTCATTATGTCAGCTGATTTGGATAGGAATTTTATGGTTATCTTTATAAAAGGATCTTTCGAGTTTTATTCAGAAATCTGAGTAGTGTACTGTGTATGTTTTTACCAAAGTTTCAACATTTCCACAAGTCACACCTTTATTACACTTATTATTATCTAACACAAAATATGCGAGTCCTACACCATTAGTATATAATTAGACATCCCTTTCTCACATTTAACTATCTCAACACAGGCCATACCAACATATACAGATAATATAATAATCTAAAATATTCAGAAANATCATATCTTTGGTCCAGGCATGTTTTCCTCCACGACAAAAGAAGCAAACAGCAACGATAAGCAGGCTAAGGAACGGAAATATTGAAATAAAAATATGATATTGGGAAGGAACAAATAAATACATAAAACTGAGAGATGCGCAATGGATACTCCGAAGTTCTTGTCAAAACTCATCGAACAAAATCATTTTCTTGCGCTTATGAGGTGTGATATAATTGAGAAACTTAAAAGCAAGTTATATATACAAGATTCATATCCCCCACTTACCACCCCAACAAGATCGCCAAGAACTCTTGGAGCAATACCAAGGCCTGTGCAAATTCCTCCAGCAGACGGACTAGACGAAGTTACAAAAGGGTACGTCCCAAAGTCAATATCCAGCATAGTAGCCTGGCCACCTTCCACCAAAATCTTCTTCTTCCGAGATATAGCATCGTTCATAAAATGCACAGTGTCCGTAATAAACGGCTCCAATTTATCCGCAAGACCCTTGTATCTCTCGACCTCATCCCTGAGCACTTCAGGGCTATAGTCAAAACCTCTGAATCTCGATGCAGCATCAGATAACAAAACATCGAGCTTCTGAGGGAAAGTGTCCATATGCCTCAAGTCACTCACTCTTATCCCATTCCGTATAACTTTGCTCGAGTAGCAAGGCCCGATGCCTCGCCTGGTGGTGCCGATGAATGATTTTGCAAGCTCCGCTTCCCTAAGCCCGTCCACAATTTGGTGGAGATCGAACAACAGGTGAGCACGATCCGAAACCAAGATTCTCCCTTTGCACGAAACGCCGTTGGCTTCGAGTTTATCGATTTCATCAAAAAAACCAGGCACATGCACAACGACTCCATTACCGATTACACAAATAGTTTCCTCGTTAAGGATGCCTGAGGGAACAAGGTGGAGGGCAAACTTCTTGCCTTCGGAGTTATAGATTGTGTGGCCAGCGTTAGCTCCACCCTGGCATGAGATGGTGTTTAAGGATTCAGAATGAACGAGCTAAAATATAAAAAGAATGGTTCTTTTCATGTACTTCAGCCACAAACAAGTAGTATATCACAAAAAGTATTTGAACTCAATGATGCATACTAGACAAGGGTTCCTATCATGTCTCACAAAAACCATCATGTACCAGCAAAAAGAATTACACTTCTCCACCTGTGATCTTTTCTTTCAACAAACAAGTGTGTTCAGTGGGGTTCACAGTTTCGAAATTATGAAAGAAAATCAGAGTCCAGAAAGAGAAAAGGACGATTCTTCATAAGCCAGAGCTCAAATAATTAAAGACCCGCAATTTTGCTATAAATTTTCAGTCACAGTAATTCATAACCCTTTCAAAAAGAAACATAATTGCATTTTTTGGTGTCAGAGTACAATCTATAAAACAAGCAGCTAAATTTTCAACTGGAAATGCAGAACACTGAATAGAACATAACAGAACAGAACATCACAAAACATTACAATTTTTAGTAGCAAGTCAGACATTTTTCCAGAAGATCAGAATTTGCTCAGCTAAACCAACAGAGAGATACCCAATTCAAAAAAATAGATAAATGACACTAATAAATAAATATAAAACGAAAACGCGCTTCTGTGTACACACAAATTATACATACCTGACAACGAGCCACGATATCGAAGTGCTTTGCGAGAACATCCACCAGCTTTCCTTTACCTTCGTCCCCCCACTGACACCCAAGAACGCCGGAGACTTGACTCAGCGACTCAATCCGGCTCAGCCCCGATCCAGACTCGCCGATTTCCTGCTGTATCACCGCGGAGCCGCTCTTAGCGGCGGCGCAGAGGAACGCCGGCTTCTGGGGGTTCCTGTTGGGAAGAAGGAGCTGGATTTGGGGGTGGCACCCGATAAGCTGCCCTAGATGGGGCCCTCCCAGCGTGCGCGGCGCGGAGGATACGGAGGCTGGAGAGGACAGGTTCATGGCGGCGGCGGAGGAGGAGGAGAAGATAAAGGGAGGGTTTGGGGAGGGGTTCCGAGCTTGAGTGAAGAGTCAACAGATTTCATGTCACTCATTTTTATTATTAAAAAATTAGTTTAATTACTTAAAATAACCCAACCAATAGTGTATCATTTGACATTTTATTATAAAATAACTACCTTTAATAACCCATTCAATTGTCAATTTTGGATAAGTAAATTTCATCTTACCCATAAACAATTGGACACTAAATCTATACTTATATAATAAGGTGTACCATTTACGAAATTTAATAAGTTGAAAAGTCAATGCAATAAATGCATTACTATTTTGAGCAACATAATATAATATCATATATATACTTATATAAAAGGAGATTCTATTTATTACATTTACTATCTAGAAAAGTCAATTGCATTAAATGTCATTACTATTTTGGTATTATAATATTTTATTTATTTAATTGATTTATTTATTTGTTTTATTTTAAAAAGGTAAGTATAATAAAAAGATTTTAATAATAAAAAAATCAAATACCAAATAAAAATGTAAACTTTTACTTATTTGATTATATTTGGTATTTGATTATAACAAATATATTCCTATTTAGTATATACATTAAATACTTACTAAAGTATTTATTTGTTTTATTTGTCAAAGTTAAGTATAGATTTGTTTATATTATCAAATCATAAAAAAAATATTAAATCTATATTGTAAAAAAAAAATCATATAATTTTATAACAATTCTACTACACTATGTAACAATATTCCTTTTTTACTATATAATAAAATAATAATTAAATATTATATGATGAACAACAATAAGTAAAACTGTTACTTTCTCTTATATCAAGGGATAAATTTATATGCTAAAATTAAATTTTTATTAGTATAAATGTTTTAGTGAGATAATATATTAATTATTTTACAAGCTAGCCCTAACATGCTCATATTTAATGTTTTAAAAGATGTAGAAAAAAAACTTATAATAACTCTATTGTTTTTTAGACTTAAACGTTGATTAAAAGAGGTAAAAATTCCTAATTTTTTAGACTTAAACGTTGATTAACACCATAGATTGAGAGTTTATATTTAGTAAAATTCCTAATTGTAATAAAAAAATTAATTTTTGCTATATTTTAGAATATCTTTAAATTCATTATAAAAAAAAAAAAAAAAAAAAACTACAATGAAAAAAGCAAGTCAGCTATATATCGATTTGTTGTACTCCTCAAATCACATTCACAATTTGGCTACAAGGAAAGGAAATTCATTGATTAAAATATTATTTTGTCAGTAGTCTTAATGTACAAGAGACTTTAAGACTCCACTTGAATATTATAAAACTTTTATTGAACATTGTACAATTTTCTTGCGTATTATAAACTTTTATTGAATATTGCATCTTATAATATAATATTCTCTAAATAAATATATCTCGTGTTTCGCACGGGTCACCTACTATATATATCCCGTACATTTTTCTTTATTCATGTATATAATTATAAACTTGTAGCCTTAAAATTATGCAACCGGGCTCTGTACTAGTTAGCGGATTAAATAGTAAAAGTTATCCACAGGTCCAATTAATTGAATTAGCCATTAAATAAATATTAGTTAATTGATATGTAAATTAATTAAAAGTACAATATTGTATTCGCAAACATTTTCGCATTAAACTATTTTAAATTAGTTTTTTAACTTTATAAATTATTTAAAATCGCTACTTACCACATAATAAAATAGGTACTGAAATTAGTTCATTAACCCAAATTTCTAATTGGTTCTAATTACTAAATAAAATGATAATTAAGCTACTATTATATGAGTAAATTACAAATAATTATTTTAGTATGTTTTCACAGGCTGTCAAATGCTTGTACGGTACTACTTCTTGTAGACGCATACCGACCCCCACCACACCACACCACACCACACCGCACTGGCCTTTCTCTTCTTGCGGGACGCTCCAAAAACAAAAGGCAAATATGTAATTTATTTCTTTTAGTTGTTTATCATCTCTTTCGCCGATTGAAAATCGTGGGTTTTGTTCGCATTTTGCTGAAATTTATACCCTAAATTTATTGCTGCAAGAGCTCCTTTTTCTCCGTCTTATTGCTGTTGAAATTAGTTTGAATCAGAAGCTGATCCGTGCGTACGTGTATGTGTCCATGGCGATTCCAGCCGCTGTTGTTATTCTGCCTCTGGGCGTGCTTTTCTTTTCCTCTGGGCTTGTCGTTAATTTAATCCAGGTACGTTATGTGAATGAAAGAGATGATAGAATAAAATGTGTTCTGCAGAGATTTTTCCTTTTACGGCCGGTTTTTCGAGATTTGATATTGTTTTCTTGGAGAAAATCAGTTGGGCTTTTGGGGGATTTTTTCAAAATTGTATTTTGAGCTGACGTGCTTGAGGGTCTGATTTGTTCATATCATGTTATGTTGCTATGAACTAAGTGACAAGTTCTTTTTTCAGGCAGTGTGCTACGTGTTATTAAGGCCCTTGTCAAAGAATTTTTATAGGAGGATAAACCGGGTGGTGGCAGAACTTCTATGGCTCGAGCTTGTGTGGCTCATCGACTGGTGGGCTGGTGTCAAGGTGAAGTTTTTAAGTTTAGCTATCTTATGCTAGTATATGTTTGTATCTTATGGTTCTAATTACGCGATTGGTATATTTAACCTGTGAGTTGGATAAATAGCTAGTTAGTATGAAGGTGTAGGGTTCATATTGCTAGTACGATCGAAAATTGTTGTCGGCGATTGTGAGCTTGATGTAAAACCATTTTCTTCTTAAATGAATCGACATATAGATTTGACTGTGGATTTGAAACATTATAGGTTCCTACCTATAGCAATAGATGGAGCTATCTAAAGTTTAGTTTATTGAAGTGGGCTGTTTCCGATTAATATGGCTTGTCGAGAATCCATCTGGTAGGCCATGTTTATTTAGGTATCAGTATCAACTCAAATAAACAATATACAAAAGAACAATCCTATTATAATCACATCTGATTTGCTTTACTGGGGTGTGGATCATGTTAATGATTGTCAGCACTGAGCACTCATTTACAATCGAAATCGCTTTGTAATATAACTAATATTAAGCTGAAGCAGTTCCTTTTTTTTATATAAATTTGTCGTACTGTTTCCTAACTGTCAATTTATTTGCAGATTAAAGTGTACACAGACTCTGAGACTTATAAACTGATGGGTAAGTCAACAGTGTTGCTCTTTATAGATTTGACTTGCTTGTTGGCCAGAGAATCTGATCTTGTGTGAGACGCTTATATTTGGTTATTGTGGGTTAATTTCCAGGTAGAGAGCATGCACTTGTCATATCTAACCACAGAAGTGATATCGATTGGCTCGTTGGATGGGTTTTGGCGCAGGTTTATGCATCTCTGTTTTCATAATGGAGAATATGAGTTTTCTTATCCAAATTAAATATATGTATGGATAAGTGGATGTTGTTTGACATTGAAGGAAAAGTATCTATGATTTCATGTTCGGATATTGTTATGGTGTGTTTCTTATTAATTTTTATTCACTTATTTTACTTTTTTGAGAGAGTTATTGCTGAGATTTTGTCCTGATCTGTTTCGACTGCATTCCGACAATGTAATAGGGTCTTTAGTCATTTATTGTTATTAAACTTTTACGTGTTCACCTTTGGATATATTTTACTTGACAGCGTTCAGGCTGCCTCGGTAGCACTTTAGCTGTTATGAAGAAATCATCGAAGCTCCTTCCTGTAAGTTTGTGATATAGTAATATTGACCTTGTCAACTGAAAATTAGCGATTTTTGCTTGTTTGTTCCTCATGGGATTAAACTACCAGTCAAAGGAGGTTTTAGAATTTGGATTAAAAATCTTTTTAAGTTTTTCCTTTGTTGCCTTTTACTTTTCTTTTTTCCTCCAAATATACTTGAAAAAATCTTGTCAAGTAAACCGAACAATTATTGCAGGTCATAGGATGGTCAATGTGGTTCTCTGAGTATCTCTTTCTTGAAAGAAGCTGGGCAAAGGATGAAAGCACCTTAAAGGTACTGTCAGCTGATAAAACAGAATTTTCATTAACTTGTCATTATGCATGTTTCTTTTA